TGGCAGTGTGGCCACGCGGGACGTTCCCCGCTTTCCCTGCACCTTTCCCCGCTCTCGCGAGCTTTGGGCGTGGAAATATCGCGCGATCCGGCAGCTGGCGGCGGCGGGACGGTCCGGGAGCTCGTGCAGGGTCTTGGGGCCCTGGGCGCCATTTTAGTCTGCTCGTGGCCCTTGCGGTTGCGGCGCGCCGATGGGCGAGTGCTGACCCTGTCCTTCCCCACGCGCTGATAGGCGAGTGCTGACCTTGTCCTTCCCCACGCGCGAGCCCCAGCATGGGCAAGGCAGGGAAGCGGAGGCGAAAGGCCTCGGCGCCCAGCGGATCCAAGGGCCCCGCAAAGTCCACTGTGGATGTAATCAAGAGCAATCCCTTCGAGGTGAAGGTTAACAAGCAGAAGTTTAACATCTTGGGGAGGAAAACCAAGAATGACGTGGGCCTGCCCGGTGTCTCACGCTCCAAAGCCATCAAGAAGGTAAGAGGCCTTCAAAATACAGAGGCTGTAAATGCATATTTGAGGGTGGAGAGGTGGTGAGGCTGGAGCCAACTCAGATGGAATTAGAGGTTTTCTCTGTCATGTGTGGGAAAAACTGCTGTGGACTTCACGTTGTGCAGATGATGGTGGGGCGCCTGTTGCAGTGTCTCCAGTGCCATCCACAGGGCTCGCTTGTATAAATCTCTGTGGGAAAGGTTCTGTTCTCATATTACCCAGAGTACAACAGCACATACATTGCTGGAAAGCAAAGATAGGAGTAGTCATTGTTTTGGAAAACTTGAAGATCACTTCTGATGCGCTGGTTACATTGTCGTTTTGTAGAAGTATGTTGGGAGGCAGAATGTGTCCTCCTTTTTCTTGTAAGAGTATTCATACAGTTTATAAGGAGTAACTTCCTTATCCTCCGCTCGTTAATTTCTGTACTGACATTAGAGTCAGAGCTCTCTACATTTTTGTGCTGTTTGGCCACTGATATCCTATTTATATGAGATGAATAGTAACAATATGTGTGCCTTGTCTTTTTTTAATCATTTTAAGTCAACACTTGTTAAATAGAGAAAAAACTAATAAATGTGCTCTTTCAGGGTTACTTATGGTCTATGAGGGAGATATAGTCCTCATGTGAAAGCCACAAATTTAAACAGATTTTTTCAGGAATAGGTCTGAACTACTTAGTTTTATCAACATTTATGACATCGTTTTTCTTGTAATTCTGACATAAACTTAGATGTTTGCAGTGTCAAACTACAGATATGTGATTGTACTAGAAATGATTAGGCAATAGCAAGTAAAGACTTTTTATTTTTTTTCTGTTAAACTCTCAGCCTTCTTTTGTTACTGTATCTGTCCAAAGTCCTGATACTCCTTTTTTTTTTTTTTTTTTTTTTTAATTCCATTCACCCATTTCTGTCTTGAGAATATGAACCTGTTCCCGAAAAGCCGGCTTCTCACTCTTTAATCACTTTGTAGATATCCTAGGTTGCAAGTTTCTATGGAAACAACTTTGTACAGTTGTTTCAATATTTGTTTCCTTTTTTTTTTTCCTTAATTGAGCATATTGTTGCCACTGCAATAGAGTGCAGAACAGACCATCAGAATGGCAACTAGCTTCACAAGCAAGCTGACCCAAAACTGTTTTGTATCAAGGAAAATGTTGTTCCATGCTGTGCCTCTGGGATTCCAGCAGTGCACCTCATCCTTCACTGAAGCGCTGGAGCTTGGTTTCTTTGCCCCTGTAAGCAATACAAAAAAAAAGAAAAAAAAATAGAAAAAAAAAACAGTAAAAACTTAAGGTACTGTAAAACAGGAAAGGTACAATTGAAGTGTTTGTCTCTGAGATTCTCACTGACACATGCAATCTGTCATCAAACAGAATTTGTAGCATTTACTGAAAAGAGCAGCGCTTTTTAAAAGAAATAATATAGCAAAAATTAAAGGATCATTTGTCATTTTGCATGTAGATACACCATGTATTAGAATTGTGTAAGTAAAATAATCAGTGAGAGATTAATAATTGGCAAACAAAAGTGTTCTTACCTATCAAGTGTTTAGATTTGTGTAAAGTTCTTGCATGATAGCTTAGATTGCATGATCCTTTGCATAGTGTGTGCAAGAGGTAAATAGAGGGTAGAACTGCAACAGTGGTGGATGAAGCCTGACTTTGGTGTTCGTTTTGGTGGCATCTACAAGTTATTCTTCTATTTTTTTAATTTTATCTCACTTTTTTTTCTTCTAGCGCACCCAAACATTACTGAAAGAATATAAAGAAAAGGAAAAGTCAAATGTATTTAAAGATAAACGTTTCGGTGAATATAACACCAAAATAAGTCCAGAGGAAAAGATGATAAAACGATTCACTTTGGAAAGACAGGTAGAGTATTTGAATGAAAAGTTAATAAAACCATCACCAGTACAATTTGCAATTGCACTGCAGCTGTTGGAGAACAAATATGTGATTTGCTGGTTAGGGGAACCTGGCAACATGCTGTCATTCCGTAGTGTGAAATGATATGAAATGTATGTGCAGCATGATTCTTTCTACCTCAGTTTATTAAGCCAATGGTGTTAAGTGGAGTTATAAGTGGAGTTTATAGTTTGCTTAGTCATACTAGAAGTATAGCTGGCAGAAAGTTTGATAATTAAGAATCAATGCTACAAATACAAGGGAAGCTTCCTCAGGTTTTCTGAGTTACTGCTATGTTAAATGGAGAAATGCAGTAACAGAGATGAATGAAAGGGTTGATCTGTTAGTGCTGTAAAAATGGCAGAGAACGGGAATAAGAATCTCCTCAACTAGTGCTAAAAAAAAGTTCAGTTTTTAACTTGTTGCCTGAGAACTAAAAATCTTCTGTTATTTAATTGCTAATTTTCCTATTCTTCTCAGCAAAATTTTGGAAAGAATAATATTTATAATCTTAACGAGGATGAAGAATTGACTCATTATGGCCAGTCTTTGGCAGAAATTGAAAAACTAAATGATATTGTTGATAGTGGTAGTGATACAGAGGAAGGAGGCACATTGTCAGGTAAGACTCACAGCTAATATCCCACTGCTCTGTTTTGCTTTTATTCACAGTTGCTTTTATTATTGGTATTTTTATTCACAGTTGCTTTTATTATTGGTATGTTTATACCATTTATTCTGCACCGTCTTTCACTGAAAAGGGGTGTTTAATCCATTTTTGGTTCTCTCTTATCTATACCCAGAAAAGCTCTCTGGATTTCATCAAATGTTAAGCTGGAATTACCTCCCTGGCAGCTTTTTTACAATTTTTGTTTTATTTTTCTTTCAACTTTCCAATAGAAAGGATCAATTAAATGTTTTAGTTACTCTCATTTTCAAGTAATAAGGAGGTATTCCCCAACAGCATCATCACTAATGTATGAATTTGAAAAGAATTCCTAATCTCTTGTTTTCTCTTGTAGCTGAGTTGACTGCAGCTCACTTTGGAGGGGGTGGAGGCCTCCTTCGTAAAAAAGTGTCAGGTGATCAGGAAGCTGAAGAGGAGGAAAAACCTAAATCTAGGAAAGAACTCATAGAGGAATTGATAGCCAAATCTAAGCAGGAAAAGGTAAGTTTGGAGCACTGAACTATAAATGAGCTGGATTGCAAAGACAGAAATTGTTTTAACTTTTTACAATAAAATAGTGACATAGAGAGCAACAGATCTCTGTATGTCTGCAGATAAAGAGTCCAAGAGCCTTGAATGAAGTCCTTTTGACCTTGTTGACATTAAGAAATGCACAGAGGATCTACCATTCTTTTGTATCCCCATGTCTCCCTTTTTATTTTCTTTAAGACTTGTTTTGCCTATGCAGCTCTTATGCCCTTTCAGGTAACTTTGTACTGCTTCTTCCACAAAGAGTGTTTAAACCTGTAAAATGTTAAATAATTAGATTTATTCATTTGTTAAAGAATGCATTTCATTGTGATATAAATTTTCTGTCTTGTACATTTGAATATAGCTGCTGTATTTGTGTTTTATTTTCTTAGCAAGAGAGACAAACTCAGAGAGAAAGTGCATTAGAACTCACAGAAAAGCTTGACAACGACTGGAAGGAAATCCAAACCCTTTTGGTCCGCAAAACCCCCAAATCAGAGAAAAAAGACAAAGAAGAAAAACCAAAGGTAAGGTTTTGGCTACATTACCTTCTTGTTCTAAAACCTCATCATTTTCACTGTCTCAGTGCCTGAAGCACGAGGCAAAGTTCATTATTTGTAAAATAAAACGTTGCCTCCCATTCACTCTGAAGCAATGCTATAGGTTGAATAAAGAGAGAGCAGACAGTATTTTATCACAGATTCTTATTTTGATATATGGATTTTTGTTTTGAGATAGTGCATAGCTTGCTGAGTATTTCAGCGTGTTGTTATTCCAATATCTTAGTTCAGGAATATGTCACTGCTGAAAAAGAAGTGGATCTCAGTTTGAAAATTCTCAGGGAAGAGAATTGCATTCTCAGGATGAATTTGTATTGCTCAGTAAAAAAAAATATGTTGAACATTCAGTTTTCTCTTGAAACAGTCTTCACTGTATTTCTTAGCAATTTTATTTCTTCTGCTATGCCAAGCAGAAGGGTGGCTGCAGTGCAGAATAATGACCTAAGATAATAATCATTTTAATAAATATTTCTTTAGCCTGATGAATATGATATGATTGTTCGAGAACTTGGGTTCGAGATGAAAGCAAAACCTTCAGATAGGATGAAGACAGAAGAAGAACTGGCAAAAGAGGAGCAGGCACGGCTCCAGAAGCTGGAGGTACCATTTATAGTTTGTTTTGTAGCCTGTCTTTTGGGAGTGATTGTTTACATTCACTGCTTGACCTCAGACTGAAAGTGGCTATACTAAACTACAGTTCTTCAGAGGGTGAATTCAGGAAATCTTCTGTTTTAGTTTCATTTGCAATGTGATATAAATGAAAAAAGTCACAGGCTTAGTACATGGCTGGTGAGGTTTATGAAACTAATTGCTGTTTTTTGTTGTTTTTTATTAAAAATATAGTATAACTTTGACATACCTTTAAATGTGTTAAATTATTCAGAGTTAAGATGTGCTTCAAATGCAGTGTAGGAGAGGCCTGTTGCACAGGCAAGTCCTTCCCTATTTTCTTCTGGTGATGCAAGAATCCTTCAGCAGTGTGTACATACAGATTTGTTTTGCAGAAAATTTTATTTGGGATAGCTTTTATTTCGGAATAGGTTTTATTTTGGAAAAAAAAATCATGTTCTTTCCACTATATGGGCAGTGCTAAGATTTAGCACTTAAACAATTGGATTAGCTTATCAGATTCCACTCCTCATCCGAAATAAGATATCGTCAATTTTGGCTGCAATTTGTCAAGTTAGTTTTTATTCTTTAATTCAGTAATCCTTGTTAACATTTTTTCCCCCTTTGATTTATTTAGCAGTATTTGTAGGAGCTTTGGTTTTGGTATAGTTACCAAATTGCTCACACAATGTATGGTTTTTCTTTCAAAACACAGGCAGATCGTCTGCGACGCATGCGTGGAATAGATGAAAAGGAGGAGGCTAAAAAGAAACCCAAGCATATATCAGCTGATGATCTGGCTGATGGCTTTATCCTAGATGAAGATGACAGACGTATGCTCTCTTACAAGGTAAGGTTAAAAATTTCAGAACTGTCAGAGTTCTGAAATGAAGATAGGGTCCAGGACAAATGAGTGACCTCTGGAGACCTCTGGTATAACTTCCTGCTCAAAGAGAGCTCAGCAGATCACTCAGGGTTTTCCCCAGTCTGGGCTCTAATACCTCCAAGATCAGAGGCAGCACTTGGGTGCTCTTTTCTGGAGAGCTTGTTCTACTGACTGCCCTTAAAAAATTTCTCTTCATATCCAGTCCAAATCTTTCCTGTTTCAACATATGCTTGTTGCCTCCTGTTTTTCCATCATCTACCTCTGCAAAGATGCTTACTCTGTCTTCTCTTAGCTTCCTCAGCCTGTCCTCACAGGGCTGCCCCTCCAGCTCTTGGCTCTTTTGTTGACCCTCAGCTGAACTTGCTTATTGATGTCTCTCTTGTATTGAGAAGCCCCAAACTGGATAGCCTAAGAGCTGGATAGTTCTGTGTGGTCTAAGAAGCACTAAGAAAAGGGAATTAGTTGCTTTCCTTGATCAACTCACTCTTCCTGTCAATATAGCCTGGTATGTCTTTAGCCTACTGGCTAAAGCTCTCTCCTTAGCCCTTCTGGACACTTCATTTTTTATTATTTGTGCTGTATTTGCTGCAGTTTCCACCTTCAGCCTGAGGGTGTGTGAGGTTCCTGAGAACTTTTCCCCTGTGAAGTATCTTTGGTTAATGTGACGTAGTAACACAAACTTAAAGTTAATGCAGTGAGTCAGCCTGACTGTGATATGTGTCAATACTGATTATGTCATCCTCCTGCCTGTAGGCAGTGGGGGGATTGCTGCTGTCCTCAGAGGGCCGAATGCAAAAGGGTTGTAAAACTTCAGCTGCAGTAAAGGATAAGAGCTCTTATGAGTTTGTCCTCTGATAACATTAAATGAAAGAATTTCACATTTTTTAACAACTTTATGTTAGAAAAATAGCTATTATTTCTGAAAACTCTTACTGTAAAATATTATTGTTGAATTGCATGATGGTTTTGTTTTATGCCATGTAAACTGAGTAAGAAATTTTAACACTACCACTGCTGCAAAGTCAGCAAAGTATATGGCAAATTGCCATGACCAGTAATACTAATTCTGGTACTAGTTTAGCAATCCTCTTACTGATTTATGAAGCATACTATCTAATTTTCCAGATCTTATGCAAACGTGTGCTTAATACATTAAGAATAGGAACAATAATTTATCTGATATGCTATTTTAATATATAAAATGAACTTTTTTTAAAAAAAATGTGTTTAATCAAGAATGCTTCTCCAAATGATTTGAAATTATGGTTGAATATTCTCTGCATCATCAACTAGTGTTCTCTGCTTTCCTCCTGATCCTTTTAGTCTTCATATAGTACCTCCTACTCTTCCAGTTTCTTGCAGCTCCATAGAGAGACCCCACTATTTTTATATCTGTATGTGTATTCTCTCCTTAAAGTCAATTGGCTGGTGCTGCTGCCCTTTCCTGCTTGTCGTGATAGCAGGGCTCGGAACCTATTCATGTGCCTTTAACAATAGCTTTGCATAATGGTTCTGGTAAGATGCTATAACTTTCTTATCACTGTTTTAACTGGTTTCTTATTGATAGGATGGAAAAATTAATATTGAAAACGAAGAAGAGGAGGAAGAAGAAGCAGATGGAAATGAAGAAATTAATGATAATGAAGAAGAAGGTGAGGAAGAAGATAATGACCATGAAGAAGACAGTGATGAAGAATCTGATGCTGAAAATGAGGAAGGTGTTGATGAAGATAATCACTCTGATCTTGAATCTGACCTTGGAAGTGAAGAGGAGGGCACAGGGAATAAAGAACAGAATCAAGAGAGTTGTGAAAATAAATCACAGAATATGGAGGAACAAGATCAAAAAATGGAAGCTGCAAAATCAGAGCTTCCATATACATTTGCAGGTAAGCAAAGGACTGATCCAGAGTTCCCCGTGTCTTCAGGGGGTTTATAATCAGTCTGTTTCTCTCTGCTGTAGAATCCTACCTATTCCTGCTCATCCATGAATTTTACTGCTTCTTTGTATCCTCTGCTGTTCCTAGAGTAGCTAGTAACCGCTGTGTGATCATCTCTGGTCATGCTTTGAACTTCCCCTGTTCTACCACAGAGCTGTTTCTGCTGCTTCTAACCACTCTGAGGAGAAAATGAAAAATGACTGTAGGTTTCTGCCTTCAGAAGGCCACAGCACATCCAGTCCAGGGTGCCTAGTGCTTTACATAAGGGAAACCAGAATAATATTCTATTATCTGTGAGAAAAGATTACTTTCTCTGCTGCTCCGACTGACTTTTTTTGTCAGAGAAGATGCTTAGAGGCAAGATTCTGAGGTCTAGCCCCCATAATGTAATATCTCAGTGTTTTACATAAAGAACCACTCAAAGAATGAGACTTTTCAGCTCTGTGCCTATGATGAAAGAGGATGCATGATTCAAGAAATTCACAAATTGTTTATTGATATTAAATACATAGTGGACTCTATACTAGAGTCCTAGTATAGGGGTTTTTTTAACAAAATATGCAGTTCTGAGACCAAACATCTTTCCAGTGAGTTTCCTTGAGTGCTTGCAGTTTTTCTTTGAAAAAAAATAATGTACTTTGCACAAGGCCTTTTAAGTTGCATGGGGGTTTTGTTTTAATCAGAAGGCGATGTCACTAATCTAACTCTTAAGAAATAGAACAGGTTAGGCTGTTATATAAGCTATTGATTTGCACATAAGACTAAATATATGCAAGGCTTTATTTTTGCAAGATTATTTTCCATTAGTTGTAAGATTTTTACTTTTCTTAAGTCATTTATATGGAAGGTAGTGAAGGGTGAATTAAAAATAGAGTTTTAAGTGTGAATTAAACAAAGTTAATTGTGTTATGGTAAAGCTGTGATTGAAGTAAGTTTAATTCAGAAGTTATGTTTAATTTTACCTCTTATGTATGTGTCAATGTAGTTATGCTCAGCACAGAGAAAAATATAGGATGAATCTTAATTTTTCAAAGACATTTACCTTATGTCTCAGACCTATTTGTTTTTATATATATGTGTGTATATATATTTCCTTAAATATCTGCTCATGTAATACAGCATTTTGTTAGTGCTTAGAAAATGATGATGTGAAGGCCACAAGGGATCTTCTTGTTTTTTTCCTGAAATACAACACTTTCAAACTGGAAATTTGTTAGATGTCGCTTGAATTAAATGTGTTAAGTTTTACATATGTTTGGGACAATCTTTGTTTTTAATTTGTAGTTCCCGAGTCCTATGAGAAATTTAAATCTTTATTGACTGGAAGAACAATAGAACAGCAGCTTATTATACTGGAGAGGATTCAGAAATGCAATCACCCAAGCCTTGCAGTGGGAAACAAAGCAAAGTTGGAAGTATGTTGTTTTTGTGTGTGTGTGTGTGTGTGCTTTTTTTTTTTTTTTTCTCCTAAAGGTTTAAAATTAACTTTGAATTCTTAAGTAAGTTTTAGCAAGTATTCAGGAAGCATTATAAAATATACATGCTTCCACGTTATTGAAGAACAATAGACTCAACATACCACTGTTCATTTGCTGACTTCTGTATCATTGTTCTTCTGTGCTGCTTAAAAGTACAGAAGAAAAAATGAATCATTTATGCTTCTCATAGAAACTGTTTGGCTTCCTTTTGGAGTATATTGGGGAGTTGGCAACGCTGGATTTACCAGAACTCAAAACGATCGACAGGCTGGTTCTGTAAGTAATAAAACGTACTGACTGTGACTCTTTATGGTCTTAAGAGAAAAGCATGCTATTTGTTCTGAATCATTTCTGGGCAGATTGTAAACAACTGGTGTTTCTCCAGCTTTGTGCTGTTTTAACATTGTTTCATATGTTGCTTGAGCTGTAAATCATACCAGAACTTTTTTGGAACTTCAGAATATAATTTTGATCTGCAAGATGGTTTCTGTGGGTAATGGATAAATAATATCATGTGCGCGTGCAAGCTTCTATCTGTGAAGGTGTTCAGATTGCTGATGGAGGCTTTAAGCTGTGCAATGACAGGTGTGTAGTTATCTCTGCAACCTTAATCTTTTTCTCGTGGGTTACTGTTCTACAAATTCACTTAGGGAATTAAAAGAAATAGGATTTAAGGGCAGTTACAAATATCTCATACAAAAGTTCCAAATAAAGTCTTTGCAGGGAACTTTGTTTGGCACTTCTGTCTTCAAATGGGCAGTTTCAGGGATGACAGAGGCACTTTTTGCTCAAGAGGAGCACAGCAAGATTCAAGGGGCTAAGGACACATGTTGTAACAAGAGAAGTTTCAAGGAAAAAATCTTAACAGTGGGGTGGTCGAAGGCTGGAACAACTTGCCCTGAATCTCTGTCTTCAAAATTTCACAAAGCAAATGGAGCAACCTGATGTACCTTTAAAGTTAGTCATGCTTTGAGCAGTTGGTTGCTCCAGATGATACCCAAAGGTCTCCTCCAAGGTAACTTAGTCTGTGATTCCGGTTTTGATTTTGCAAGTTAGACAACTTTCAGTGAATTATTTGTACACAGTTTTTTTAGTCTGTTTTTTATTTCATGAGAATAAAAGTAGTTTTTAAAAATCTGTTTCTGCAACTTTAACTTTCATTACTGTTTTGCATTCATCAACAGGAGCATTGACCTGCCCCTGTATTGTAAGATATGCTGGAACTTCATCAAAATATATAAATGCATTTTGATCGTTTGGCAGAGCTGTATTTTATTAATATAATTACAAAGCATTTTAACTGAAAATAATTGAAAAAATCTGACTTATCTCCTGACTGCATCTCCTCTCCTAGACAGAAAACATAGCGCAAGAACTGGCCTAATTTGGTGTACGTTTTTTTCTCAAATATTAATTTCACTAACCACATTCCTGTTTTACATGTTGTTTAACACCACCCAGGAGTAGTGTGAGTAGTGGTTTACCTAGTATGTGCCAGAATGCCCTAATAGAGTAAAATGAAGTAATCTGGAAATTCAGATTATTTGATAGTGTATTTTAAAGGTGTGTGTTTGTTTGTTTGTTCACTTTAAGGATTTAGAAACCACCAAGTTGAAGATCCTTTCACAAAACATAATGAAAAAGGCTATTTTTTTACACACACATCTCAGTTAAACAAAAATATTACAATAATATTTTATTTAGTGTATTTTATACTGGGTGGCTATTTCTAAAAAAAAGTGTGATTCGTATCAGGGAATTTGTTATTGTACAGATGGAACACCAGATATCTTCTTACAGGTGCTTAAATGTCATTTTTTTATTAACATCAATGGCGTAACTCGATCATGACTTAAATTTCTTGTTAATAGGCCATTGTACAATCTCTGCCAGATGTTTCCTGAGTCAGCTAGTGACAGTATGAAGTTTGTCCTTCGAGACGCTGTGCATGACATGGAAGAAATGATTGAAGTCAAAGGCCGTGCAACATTTCCAGGTTTAGACACGGTAACAAATACATACTGTGAAGAAAATCTCATGCTCTTTACACTAGTACAGAAATGCCAGGATGACAATAAACTTACATTTGCATTTCAAAGGATAATGGAAAGGATATAACAAATTATTAGTATCTCTGACTTTTATAGTTCCCTTGCACTTTAAATTGCCTGTCTGGAGAACATTCTTCAGAAGAGAACTGCGACACTGCAATATTAATACAGAGAAAAAGAACTTAAAATTACCACCTCACCTTACATAGTTTGTCGTTATTTTTCTGGCAAAGTTTAAATTGGTGGTTCTAGGAAAAATGATGCTGACAGTTAAGTACCAATTTCTTTAACTGCATTAGCTGCAAACGTTGAAATAGTAGAAATAGTATGTCAGAAGGCAACAAAAATATTATTTAGGATATTATGGGTGTAAGAATACCCAAAATTGTTACTGTAGATATGGCATTAATGGCTCATAATGAAAGCACTTATTTTTCCTTGTATTACTAATATTTCAAAAATTATTTGGCTGTACTAAATCTGAACAGACTTCTCTTCAGATGTCTAGGTAAGTGGCTATTGGGGAATTCAAGAAGGGGACATGTAGAAAATTAATATTTGTTTGTTGGAGTAAAATGTTCCAAAGACAAACTTTAAGTGGGTAATACAAAGGAAGCTACTTGCCCTTTGTCTTGCAGCTTAATGAAGTAGTGCGACCTAGTGGAATAACTACGGTATTGAAGGAGAAGAGGCTGAATTATTTGCTCACAAGATTTGCATCTTACAGTTTAGAAAATATTTCTGTTGAGTTCTTTTGAAAAGTCTTTTTTCAGGATGTTTAGGATTTTGCAGGAAATGCAGGGGCTTTTTTCACCCCTGCAAGGTCTTCCAAGTTTGTACCAGGTTGTTATGCAGCACATGAAGTTTTGTTTTGCCTTCATGTTTGTTCATCCGTCTCTGATTTCAAGTGATGCAGACAAATGATGGCTATTTCATCCTCTAAAGCTACTTAAGCAGTCATCTCAATAAATAGCTTATATGTAATCAAATCTCTGAAAAAGATTTATGTCTTAGTGTTTTTAGACTACTACATGGCAGTCGCTCATCCATTATAGTCACGTATGTATAAAATCTATCAAGAACCTGGGAATAGTGTCTTAGTATATTTGCTTTCTTACTCTTTTATCCAGCTTATTTATTTGAAAATTACATCTCTACTATTTCCAACTTCTGACTTCTGGCATCCAGTGGTAACGCCTACTTTTGTATACATGAGCCTGTTACTTACAAAGGTATGTCTGTGAAGGTGTATCTCAGCATAAAACTTCCCTTCTTTGTTCCTTCCCAGGACTCCATCCTTGTATATGTTAGTATGTGTATTGGAAATGTACTGAAAAGGTAGATTTCTGTTCAGAGTAGTCATAATTAGTCATTAGGAGGAAAACTGAAGACAAACTCCTTTCAGAATACAGCAAAATCATATGCGATCAACTTTTAAGCAGTCATACCAGATTATTATTTTTTTAATACTAAAAATTATGTAGGACTAATGGAACAGACTGAAGAAAGTATGAAGTAATTCATTGGTAATTTCTCTTCCATATATTGCTATTTTCCATATATTCCACTTATTCCTATTTTAAAAAGGTGTTTATTTAAAGATTGGCATTTTTTTCCTTGAAAATTTACCTCGTGCAATGCATTGCTCTACAGTAAAAATTCATACTTTTTTTTTGTCTATATATCCCGTTTATGTGTTTGGAAAGTCCTGAGCTGATTATTTTGTTATTGTCAGAGATCCAAGTTGCTTTGAGTTTGGTGTTTCCTTGGTTCATTTCTGAAAGTAGATATGGGGCACTGCAAGGGAAAAATACTGAAAGTTAAGAGCAGGTCAGATGGAGCAAGCATGCAGAAAAAAAAGCATGTGTGATCTAGTGCCTTCTGGTAGCCACAAGCTCTACAGACTTTTGGTTCAATTCTGCATATTCTCTTTAGTGAGGTATCAAATTAAGCAGAGAAAGATGGTATATTTTTCACATAAACCCTGAGAGTATCATTTGTATGTGTTTTGAATATGTACAGCTTGTTAAAGATTTCTACTTTTGGGGAGATGCTACAGTTTGTGACATAGACATTTATTTATTGATTTGTTCCATTTCTTTTTTTTTTTTTTTTTTTTTTTTTTAGTGTCGCATCACAACATTACAAGATGTTGTTAAAGGATTATTCATATGCTGTTTGTTCCTGGAATATGTATCTCTTTCTAGAAGATTTGTACCAGAACTCATCAATTTTCTTCTCGGAATACTTCACATATCTCTACCCAAAAAGCAAGCCCAGGGTGAGTTTCTTCCAAGTGAACAAGTAATAAGAATTTCTGTTGGGTCTTTCTTTCTCTTTCTTTTTTCTTTCTTTCTTTCTTTCTTTTTTTTTAATGTTTCAATAGTATAAGCTTTCACCTTGAATTTTCTGTTTTCAACAAAAAGCTACATCATCCGCTAGACTGATCTTTTTATGAACTAGATCCTCTAATGGCTTTGGCAGGAAAGAAAGAACTTACGCAATAAAGGGGAATGTAATAGTGTTGCAGTGCAGTATTTTTTGCAGTTTTGTTCCAAGTAGACCTAATTGGACTACGCTCAGAAATTCACAGTTCCTAAGGGATTTCTGATGATTACCGTGTTTCTCCACAGTGAGACAGCTGCTGATGCTGCGAATCACTTTCCTTCTCACCTAATAACCTTATCACTGAGTCTTGGAGGGATTTCTGTAGGATGAAGATAAAAACTTTGCCATTAAGGTGATTTTTTTTTTTTTCCTTTTTATTTGCTTGCCTGGACTCATCGCAGTTCAGAAGAGGCCAGAATCAGAGGATTGGTTTTTAATCCTTAAGCTCCTAATGATCCCTTTTTTCGTCTACCAGAGCAGTGCAGTTTCATTGTTCTTACTTTGTGTAGCTCTACCCTACAGACCTTCCTCCAGCTTCTCATAGCCAAGCAGCTTCCACTGAGGTGTGAGACATGATTGCACAGCTGGACTGCATCAGAGCTAAGCCTTTGATTTTCTAAAAAGTCAAAGGAGGAGCTGGTTAGAGGTTACAGAGTTAGGTGGGTTAAGCAACACTTAAAAGTATTCTCTCCTTTATGTACTCCTTTAAAATAGTTTCTTATCTAGTTTTGCAAAAGCCTGTATTTTAACTGAACCAGAAACCTTTGTAGATTGTATATTCTTGAAGTATTGAATGGTAGCAGAAAAACTTACTTTAACCATTTTTAAACTTCTCTTGAACTTTTGTTAGTCATTTTGCACTAACTAAATCTGTATGGTGTTAGTTTCACAGTGAGAAGCTTGATAAAAGATAGATTAGAGGCATGGCATCATTGGTCAAATCAGAAATTCTATCTGAGAATTTCTTAGTCAATATTGTTATTTTGAATTGTGTATCAAAATATCCAGTCGTGTTTTAAAATGTTCACAATGAAGTTGTTGCTGAGAAATGTGGTGGTTTGGCTGTCAACACAGGATATTTTAAAATGAGCTCACACCTAATTCTGTGGTATTTTGATACACTCTTACACCAAAAAAAGTTCTTGGGTTCAATTTTGACAATCAGTGGCATCAGCTAATAGAGCTCCATTATTTCAGTTTTAAGAGCTTGATCCGTTAATTCTCACAGCAAGAGATGATATGGAACAGAACCTCATAAATGCTAAAATGCAGCTTCTGATTGACTTCAGTCTTCAAAAAATTGCTCCCTTAAAAAATGAAAAAGAGAAAGCATGAAAAGATGGAGATGGAGGGAGTGGGAAAGGATTGTCATTGTTGATAGGCTTTCCTGATAGATTTGGAAACGAGCTCTGCTAATCCCTTAGAAGTAAAGCAGTTAATAAAACTTACATGTCTTAGTTTCTGGTTTTGCGTATGTCTTCCTGTGTCATAATCTCTTGCAGCATTGCATCCTAAAACTGAAACCTTATGCCTCTTTGTTGGAACATACTGTTTTCTGGCCTATCTGTACAGTCACATATAAGTTCTAGGTTATGTAACAAAAAAAGAGGAGTCCAGCACACAGATTATAAATTATTTCTCCCTTAGCCATGAAATTCCAGTGATGCTCTGATTCCTGCTTCTGCAAGTCCTTTTTCTGAGACTTCTCTGCTTGTTTAACCCAGTGATTCTCATGTGTTTTCTGTATGCCCTGCCCTGGTCTGTATTTTGTGTTTCCTACTTGTCATGCTTTAAAACTGCTTAGCTGGAGCAGGAGAGGATTTTCAGAGTGCACCTGAGGGCCTCTGGTAGAGACTGTTGGAGAGGCTCAGTCATGCGCAGCAGCTGTGGGCTCTCCCTGCTCCAAAATGCTTTGCTTTTTGCCCTCTTGCTGGTCAAAGCCTTTTACCCTTAAATCCGATCTCTTTTTCTGTCCTTTCCTCCTCATATCCAGGACACCATTTTCACTAACAGTTCAACTAAGCATCCTGTTTGCTCCAGGACAGATTGTACCTGCTCTAGGAGCTGCTGCTGGCTCTCCTTCAGCTCCTTTCTCCCTTCTCTCCATACATATTGTTGACTGTACCTATTCTCCACTGTTTTCTATTATTTCAGAAAAGCCTAATTCTGATAAAATGTTTTTCCAGAGCAGTATGATTAAAAAGATAAGTATGTTTTGTTTGGCTTCGTTTTTTGGTGTTTTTGGTTGTTTGTTTTCTTTAGAAATAATGTTGCAAATTGACCTGTTTACAAATACTGTTCCTGTCTTTCAGGCTATACTGTAGTGCATCCCTTTACACCAGTGGGAAAGAATTTAGAATTGCTTTTGGTCAGTGATAAGAAGGATCTGGAAACCTGGCAAAAGCAAAATCTGCCATTGAGTATTGTGACGAGGTTAAAGGAAATGAGCAGAACAGAAATGAATCATATCAGGTGTGTATGGAATGTGAAGAGAAGAAATCCCAGGTTATATCTGGGGTAATTTCAGTGACAACGTTTTTGACAGGCATGATAAAAATAAGGAATAAGGATAAAAACAGTGGTTTGTTCTACTTTACTTTCATGGTACTACTCTAGCATATAAAATTAGGAATCTACTGTCAGAACCTTGTGAAAAGCACTTGATGGAGAGCTCCAGTCCTCTGGAATATAGCTGTAGACTAATGAGGATAACGCAGAGCTAGAGGAAGTGCTCAGTACTTTGCACTGCCAAGCTCCTCAGTTGCAAATACTGCATTTAGAAGCAAATGCCATGTTAGAAGAGCATGACTGAGGTGATCAAACGCTCAATGCTGGAAACACCAGAATTAAGCCTGGCTCTTCAGCCTTATTTCTGACCTTGCGTATGTTATGTGGTATAGTTTAGTTCAGGGATGAGTAAGCTTTTTATTGCTGAGTTTAAAGAAAATATATTACTACTCCTGTTTGGAAGATATGTGATACCTTTAGAAACAGTATAGAAACTTCTTATTCACCCTAAGTGGCAAAGACAAGGCAGTAGCTTAGGTTCTGTACTTGGGTGTAAAGCACAGCTTTGTTCTGAATTGATTTCTCGGTATTTGCTAATAGAAGAGAGTGAATTATTTTGTCTGAATTAACAACTATAAACAGCTTCATAAGTGATTGAGTTAGGCAGTCTTAGTTATAGACACTGCTACTACTCCCTAAATTAATTATTTTGGATAATTTTAATAAAGATCTACTATAGTTTTTGCAAACAAAGTTGTTAAATGCTTTCATACCTTCACAGGTTATCATGTCTAGCCCTGTGCTTTGATCTAATTAAGAAATGTGCAGCTCTGTATGAATCTCTATCATCGTTTCATGAAATAATGCACCCTGTTAGAATACTTCTCACACAACACGTACCAGTGAGTGAGTATCCTGAACAAATGCAGGTATGTTTTCCTGAAGAATAAAATAATTAGTATAAATGTTTTATTTTGAAAAATGTTGTTTTCATCTGTGCTTAAGAAAACAAAAAGCAAATATAACCTATTTACTTTTTGTGCTCTTCAAAAATTACTGTGATGGTGCCAGGGAGAAACCAGAGAGGAATGGAAAATGTTTAGAAAAAAAAAATGTTTTCATTGTGTGTCTTATCCTGCCCCTCTAATTGAAGAGAATGGCAGCTCATTGGTAAATCTGACATGTCAAAAGTGACTTAATTTGCAGCAATAGCCGTCTGGGCATCCAGTTGCTCCTATACTTTCTTAATGAGGCTGTTAGATTTTTTGCAATCAAATACATGTACCAAATTGATGGAGTAGTAATTATAGCAGTCTTAAAACCAATATAAATTACTTTATCAACTTCATTGCTTAAAACAAGTCAGACGTTTATTTTTTTCAGTGTTGAGGTTCAAATCAGCTTTTTCATCCGTCTTTTTTCTAAAGCAGAATTGTCCTCTCAAGAGGCATCATGAAATATCCCTAGAGAGTAAGATTTTGTAGCATAGATTATACAAAGTGGCCTATTTTAAAAAACAAATCGGTCATCCTTAGAATGACTTTCTGTATGGCAGTCTCGGAGCTAAGCTGACTGTAGCATTAATTCATCCTCTGTTAGGTGAAATTATCTGCAGATCTTTCTTAGTGTTCTCTACTCAGATACCATCTTAATAAACTTCTGAAAAGATTTTAAAATTATCCAGTGTGGAAGGCTTACAGAACAGCAGTACCATAATGAGTAGCAGTGATTTTTACCAAGCAGAAGAACTTTATTTACTTAGGAGGATGCTTCAGCCAGAGGCTAACATTACTGTTAATTTAATTTACAGTACTTTGTGAATTATGATACATTTGATAAACTCTTGAAGTCTATTTTTTTTTTGGCAATTTGATTTGCTTTTGTAGGAATGGTATAACAGCGCTCTGGGAGAGCTAGAGAATAAAGTAAAGCACTATACCCCACTGGTGTGCGAGAAGAAGAAGCCAGAGCCTTTGAAGCAGTATACACCTAAAATTGTGAAAGTGTAAGTAAAGCAATGCCTGGTGCAAAAGAAGTGCACTTAAACCTTAAGATTATCAGTAAGCTAAAAGTATTTGTAATGTAGGATATATAGGAGAAACCATTATTTGTTTTACTTCATAGAAATGTGTTCTGATGCTGACAATGGCTTATGACCTTTCTGCCTTATATTAGCTCATGATTCATTTAGACATGTTACAATATAAATTGTCTTACTTATTCTAAGTAATATTAAGAAGCTAACATTTCTACAGTGTATGCAGTTATACTCAAATAATTCACAATCACAGAATGGTTGCGATTAGAAGGAACCTCTCGAGATCATCTAGTCCAACCCTCCTGTTCCAGCAGGGACACCTAGAGCACGTGGCACAGGGTGGCATCCAGGTGGATTTGGAAGATCTCCGGAGAAGGAGACTCCACAACCTCTCTGGGCAGCCTGTTCCAGGGCTCTGTCAGCCTCACAGGAAAGAAATTCCTCCTCATATGGAGGTGGAACTTCCTGTTTGTAGCCATTACCCCTCATCCTGTCGCTGGCCACTGCTGAGAAGAGTTTAGCCCCATCCTCTTTACATTCGCTCCTCAGGTATTTGTACATATTGATCAGATCTCAGTTTTCTCCAGGCTAAAAAGACCCAGCTCACATAGCCTTTCCTCATTAGATAGATGTTCCAGTCCCTTAATCATCTTTGTGCTCCACGCTGGATCCTTTCAAGAAGTTCCCATCCCTCTTTTCCTGGGGATCCCAGAACTGCACCCAATACTCCAGATGTGGCCTCACCAAAGCTGAGTAGAGGGGCAGGATCGCCTCCGTTGGCCTGCTGGCAATGCTCTTCTTAATGCAGGCCAGGACCCCATTGGCCTTCTTGGCCATGAGGGCACAGTGCTGACTCACGGTCAACTTACTGTCAACCAGGACTCCCAAATCCCTCCCCAGAGAGCTGCTTTCCAGCAGGTCAACCCCTCGTCTGTACTGGTGCTTGGGGTTATTCCTCCCCAGGTTAATAAATGAAATGGCAAACCAGGCCTTTTCTTTAGAAGTCTGTCTTAATGAGGATGTTAGATTTTTTGCCATCAAATACGTGTACCAAATTGATGAAGTAGTATTTCTAACTGTATAACAGCTGAGGAAGCCTGCAGAAACTCAAAATACTGTATTCCTTCAGGCGTATCTTCAACTAGCATTGACAATTTTGTATTTTACTCTTCTGCTCTAAATTTCTCACTCTCTTCCAAAAAAAAAATGTAGGCAATATTTGGGGATTTACAGTTTAACTGTTTTCTAGAGAATGTTATCTGCTTGTCATCCACATGATAATGAAATGCAGTTAGAAGTTCTGGTTTTCCAGTATGTGCCCTGCGGTGACCCCTTGTTTTGAAACTTAATCACATAGTATACAGGAAGTAAAATACTGAGTTTAGTATTCATGCAAAAACTCACTATTATTGAGCATAAAAAGTTGTTTTTGTTAAAGTGTTTAAATGTTAAAGTGTTTTGTGCTCACAAATGCTTTCTCATTTCAGTTTAGAGTTTGGAAGAAAGCTGGGAGGCAGCAAGAAAGAGCAAGAAAGAAAGCGGTTGATTCACAAGCATAAGCGGGAGCTTAAAGGAGCTATTCGGGAGATTCGGAAAGACAACCAATTTCTGGCTAGACTGCAACTCGAAGAAATCATGGAGAGGTGATGTAGTCTTCTCTGCACCAGTTTGGGGCTTATCCTGTTGTTCATTTCTTTGCTCCATGTAAAGATTAACAATGATGATCAACCATACTAAGCTTTAAAAATACATATTTTGACAATTTGAGGAAAAGGTATATTCAATAGACGACCTTTTAAGTGCTTTCAACTTTGCACTTTCATTTCTCTAGTCTAAGAATATCCCGAAGATTTATACTTAAAGTGTGTGTGAGTGAAATTTAAGGATTTAAATTTAAGAATTATTTTCCCTAATACAGTGTTTTTGAAATGCTTAAATATGTTGATTTTTTGATGTTTTTTTTTTGTTTTACAGAGATGCAGCCAGAAAGAGAAAAGTGAAAGAACTTCTTGGTAGTCTTGCTACACAGGAAGGTGAATGGAAGGCAATGAAAAGAAAAAAAAGGAAAAATTAAAAATTAACTAGGACTGTCTGCAAAAGGAAACTTTGGTTTTGTTGCCATAAAAATATCCTGATCATCTGGCTTTTGAATAGACTTACCTACGTCTTTTTGGATGTATTTTTTGCATCCTTTTGAGGAAATACCATCAAATCTGTCTAAAGAAGGTAACCTGTTTGTTAGAAAAATCTTGCTTTCATATGAAAAATAAAAATGAACATTTTTGTTATGTGGTATATTCCATTTATTTTAGTAACAGAGAACATTTGCATGAATAATCAGAATTCTCAGGAATGTGTGGCCCAGCCTTAGTCCATCTTGAAATACACAAACGAGACTCTGCAGCATTTAGTATCTTTTAATAACTGCAAGCAGCTCTCGCAGTTACAGCCTACTTGCGCAGTAGGCAGTAACATTTTAATTAGTTTGTAGCATTGGGGCAGTCTGAGGCATGATCAGTGGACTAAGGGAACTGGTTTATTAAAACTGTCTATTCATTCATCTCTTCAGTAATTGTTGGATTGAGCTGAGGTCTGAAATTCTTAGTAACGTTAGAACCCTGGCAGTAGCAATATAACTGTTGGTCTCTGTTGTTTTACACTGACCAGGAATGTTTCCTTTATGCTGTTTTTTTCCTTCAGAAGAGATTTATAATGGAAGCATGAATAAAACTAGGAGGGCATGATTTTAAAGAATTGGTGTTTACATTTAAACTCCAATTACTTTTTGTGGGAGGTAAGATAAGCCATATTATGTTTTTTTAAAAAAAATCTTTATTTGGAGAAAATATGCTTTTATTGAGTCTCAGTGTTACTGAGTAACACTGTAATGCCTATAAGTATTTCATGGACATCATCAGCACTTTTTGCTTTTAAAAAGAGTTTAAAGTATTAGAAAACATTAGAAGTACGTGTAGGGGAGATACTTTGGTCACATGAAAATTAGCAAGATTTTCATGTTTTAAATCTATTCAGACTTCTGAAAACAAAATACAAAGGTTTCTACTTAACCTTCCAAAGTCAGTGAACTGTCTTCAGAGCCTTCAAAGAGATTTCAGAAGATTAGTGTACCTGCTGTTTTATTTCCATTTGGCGCAGCATAGGATTTTTTTTTTCCTCCATTGCAAAAAAAGTGATTACTTTGATCTTCAAAAACAAAACCTTTTATGCAGTTCAAGTCAAACGGTTATAACTGAAGCAATGAGGAAAGAAATAACTTCCCATTTTGTGATGTAAATCAGCATTTTCAGAGGAAGTGAACCAGAGGATTAGTTCCAATTTATTTCTCTTTTGTACAATTAAACTGTCAAAAGGTACTGTTTTTTATTTATCTGTCTTTATTTTTCCAACAGCAAGTAGCTTCAGAAGATCAACTCAACAGGGTATTAGAATCACAGAAAGTTGACAGCTGCACTTTAATCTTGGAACAGTGATTTTTGATACCACTTGCACCTGCTGTTTGGTTACTTTGTTTTCATTTCTTTTTTTTTTCCAGTAACTTAGTGATGAGAAGGAATACTAAAATTTTCTGTGTAATCTGAACACTTGAGTGGGTATAAAATATTGACTAAGATGAAGACCTAATTTTTGAAAGACTAATAGTTGTGTGTCATTAAATCTCTCAATTTATTAATGTTTGGGTTCGCATGGAATACTGTTGCTCTTTTGACACAGAACAGGAAAGAAAAATCCAGAGAGGAGCATTACTTAAGAAAAAAAATCAGCAATGTAAGAAAAAAAAAATAACATTAATAAATACAATCCAGAACCCAACTTCAAATTTTTAAGTATCAGAAGATAATTATGAGAAGATTGGGAACTGGATTTCCCCTGGAACAGGGTAGGCAGTGACTTACCTAGTTCTAAGAAGAGATTGTGTTTACATGTGGGATTCTATAATGTGTCTGACTGCAGTAATGCAACAGGACTCAATGACCTACCCAAGTTTTAGGTTGGTAGCTTTAATAACAGGAACACCTGGCTTTCTCTGAAATGCTAAAAGGTTTAATTGGTCTGGTGCTTAACCACTTACATACAATGATTCAGGACCAGGGGTTTGCATCTGCATAGGTTTTACAGGTGCTAGAAGTTTATTCATGGCCCTTGCTCTGGAGCACCTTACAATAGATTCTTTTCCCCAAGTCAGCAGTGGTCCTTACATAACCATTCAGTTCTCAGAAGAGGTTTTGCAGGAGTATTTTATGCGATTTTAATATGTGTTCTGAGTTAGGCCCAGTTACTAAGAGAGGTCCTCGCATGGTAAGTCTTTGCTTTTCTGAAATTTCATAGCTGATTGACTTGCTTCTACTGCAGCCTTGCCTATAGTTTTATATCTGCTCACTTCTAAGAATCTTCTGTTTGATTTGATACCTACTTCGGATTTTCCTCTACAAGCATAATTTGATTTCCTTCATCTCAGTTGTAGATAAGCTTCAAGTGAAAGTTTCAAGTCTCAGGGGCTCTTCAGATTTCTTTCTGGATTTAAAGGAGGGCCAGATCTGTTGTAGATGCAGAAGCAGCCCAGAAGTTGCTTGATGGCTAGATGGGTCTCAGGAGTTATGGGATGTTGTTACTGGACTAAGTTAAAAAAGGACATTAAACATCTGGGAATGAGATTGGAATTTGGAAATTCATAAATGCAGTAGTGGAGATGATAGGCAGACTTCTTATCTCCTCAGCTATCACATATCTAGAGGGATTGGTAGAGTCTGTATCAAGGGGGTTGATCTCTGATAGACTTCTGTGCAAACTCAGTTGGCTGGATGGGCCTATTCAAACCGAGTTGCAAATTCTCTGGAGCTGATACCTTCCTCTTAGGCCTGTATATTCTGTGTTTTGTCTGTTTTCTTGTGCCATGGAGCTCTGGTTTATGAGTAGGAGAGTGCAGAAGTGTATGTGGTTATTATATATAACCCCATGTTCCCAGTGTGTGCCACGTCGGTACCCAGTGTGACTGAAGTGCCCCTCTCCGCTGCGCTGTGTGCAGAGATGCTGAGCTGAACAGGGCACAGCAGCTGAGCGCTGGGCCTCCTTGGCAGGCTGCCCCGCGGTCTGGAGCAGCTCCTGCACGTCTGCTGGGGGAACCCACCACGGACACTCCTGCTGAGAGTGTGAGGGCCTGGTCGGAGTATCCACAAGCTTAAATGCAGACCACTGACAGGACTGCAATACAGGTTTTGAAAGGTAATAATTCGCATTGAAGTCTTGTTTGTTCTTGTAGATTGTAATGTTTTTAAGATGGTGAGGATGTGCTTTTAGTCCCCTTGCAGCCACGCGCTCCTGCTTGAATTGCATGGGCTGAGGAGCCGTCTTGGCAGGGCTGCAGAGCCCTGTGGGACAGCAGCAGTGGCACCAAATCCATTCCCTGGTTCTGTGTTCACAGACAGGCTCTCCCAAACAACAGTTTGTGCTATGGCCAGAGTTACCCTTCTGCGAGTACTTCTTTCCATTTGCCAAATACAGAATGTTTTGGGTTACCAAAACCACTGCTAACAGCTGCTGGTAACATTATGTTGCAACCAACAGCAGCGGTGTCTTTATTTCTGGCACAAGTAAGTTCTCGTTGAGAAATTCTTCGCTGTGAACCCGAGGAGGAATGGCTGCAGTTTGAGGGAAGACAGGATTAACGGCTAAATTGTTAATCCCCTAGGGCAGGGGCTGCCTGTTACTCTGTGTCTGCCTCCGAGCCAGCCCCCGGGCGCTTGGTTAAGGCACCCTCCTGCCATCTGTGGCAAAAGCAGAACACAAGAAGCCAGAGCGGCTTTTTCCCCTCAGGAAACTGCACCTCGGGGCGTGCAAAAGCCCAAACACGCGGGGAAAAACGAAGCTGGCGCCGACTCGGCTGCAGCCCCGCCCGGAGTGAAGCGGCCCCGGCGGGTCTCGAACCCGGTCCCTCGGCACCGAGCGGCGGCTCCACGCGGGGCGGCCCTGGCGGCGGCGGCGGCTTCCC